ATAATAATAATAATAAAACAAGGCCCTGCAGCTGAGAACCTATTGGTTTCATGTTTTTACCCTGAGATTACAGACGTGAGATCACAGATAGAAGTGCTGCCTGACAAATACAAACAGGTAATTATATGTGGGAATGAAAGCAGTTAAGTGTTTTTTACTTTGTCTAGATTCCTTTTCTAAATGCAGTTTTATAAGAAACTACAATGAAGTCACTCTCAAATGATGTAATTCTACTAAGAAACATGTAAAAACTGTAAGAGACTGATACCTTGTTTTTTTATGCTAAACAGACATATAACATATATAAAAATGTCTAAGTTCCAACCTGCTTAGTTTGTCTGAAATGTTCTATAAATAACCTGAATGTTGGCTTTTCATTTTCTCAACAGAGTCTGCGGTGCAGATAAGAAAAGTAAAACTGACAGAGATAAGGCACTGAAGAATGCCACAAAAATAAACTCTGGTGCCGGCTGCCTTCAGAGGCTGAATAGAAACAAAAAGCTTCGACACCAGTGTCTCATAAAGCAGCCACCTTTCTATTTTTTTTATTTTAAATCCTCAAAGCATCATTTCTAAATGACTTTTCTTCCCCCTGTGAGTGAACAGCTGTAGTTAATGCTGTCAGGATGTTACATTTTAATGTGTGGGGGTCCTGAGGGGTCTGCCAGGGCCAGGGTCTGCAGGTTGTGACACTGAAGCAGAAACCCCTCCAGTCCGCTGCTTCCCGTCAGCGGGTTACTATAAAACAGGTCCTGCCCCGGAGGAAGGACGCTGTCGGAGCCCCAGTCCGAGTCGGAATCGGAGCTGCCGTTCCCGGAGCCCTCGGTGGCGGTGGGGGGGTAGCTGAGCTGCTCCAGCTGCTCCACCAGGTCGCTGAACTGCACGGCGGAGCTGCTCTCAGAGCGCACCGAGTACGCCGGGAAGTTGACCATCGAGCTGGCCTCTGATTGGATGCCGGACCCCGGCAGGCGGAGCGAGGACGAGTCGGGCCCGCCGTAGCCCACTGACATGGACTCCCCCGCAGAGCTGAGTCCCAGGTTATCCAGGGAGCTGCACTCGGAGCGGTTATTAACCAAGGAGCTGGTCTCAGAGTGACCAACGATGCTGCCGGGGAAGGCATTAGGGTTTCCATTCAGGTCCTCAACTCCAACATCGAGGTCCGCTCCCGCCGCAAAATCAAACTGATCTACTTTGTTGTCGTGCCTGAACGAGTAGGCCTCGGCCCCCCCACCGTAAAAGGAGATTTCAGTGGGATCATCATCGATGAACTCCTCTGAAACCTGCAGCGGTGAGTTGCACATGGAGAACATGGGATTCTGTTTTGTGCGCAGCAGCTCTGCCTCGAACGCCTCGGGTGTGAAAACCCTCTTTCTTTTGTTTCCACCCCCTCCCGCCGAGCCCCTCCTCCCCCCGTGCTCATTATCCTCATTGCCATTTTTAAAGGGCAGCGACTGGGAAGCGGCGCCCTCTGCACACACAAACACGGGGCTGCAGTGCCCTGCGGCCTGTTTGCAAGAAGCACCTTGAAACGAGAAGTGCGATGGGGAAGCGGCCTTGGCAGGATCTTCCTTCGGAGGGCTGGGGGGTCTAGTGGCTTGCGGAGGGGACTGTAGTGGCTGTTGAGGAGGTGCCGACGACTGGCTCAGTGGGGACACAGGTAAGGGTTGATGAGGCAGTTCAGTTCGAGGAAGAAGTCTTGACGTGTGGACCGGACTGAAGCACTCAGCAATGGAGGGAGGGAAGCCTAGGTCTCTGGGACTATCACTGAATGACAAGTTCTGAAAGAAAGTAAAAAAAAAAACAAAAAAAAAACTTTTTTTAATCAGAGAAAACAGGCAAAACCATCCATATTCGTCTAAATCAAGTGTCAAACTCAAGGCCCTCGTTAACATTTTATCTGGCCCCAAAGTTATTTTTTAATGTAAATAGTTTTTATCATTTCTCTTTTTGTCGCTGTATTTTGTGCGTTCTCATGTCAGTAGTCAACTTTACAATAAAAAGAGAATACAGAAAAAAATATTTGTCAAATAAATAGATTTGTATTGAGTTTTCTTTTAACTGATTTGCTGGACTGTGATCAAATGTATCTTTAACATAAATAAAATAGTTGTTGACAGTATAAGGCATAAGAAATGAATGCTAATGATGTGTCTTTCTAAATGTAATCGTTTTTATCTGGTTAAGTTTGTTCTAAATGCTACATGAAATATAATCTGGAAAATGTAATTTGGATATCTATGAAAACAGCTGTGTGAATGCTTATAATAGAATTTATATTTAAGATTATTCTTCTGTACATTGTTTGGGCTCGTATCTCGTTACGCAATTTTTGTGCCATTTCAACAAATGATATATCAAAATGTTCCAGCTATGACATTTGATATTTCAGCAATTTAACCTTGGGAGATATTTAGCATTTCTGTCATTTTTTTCTCACTGAAAAAGAATAGAGCTGTCTGCATCATCCCTAAAACCTGTAAAAATATTTATAAATCTTTATTTAATCTGGTTTGGCTCTTTTAAACTTTTTATTTTATCTCACCCTCTCCTGTACTGAGCTGCAGCAACGTGCAATTTCCCCACTGTGGGATCAATAAAGTTTTATCTATATTATAATTTGAGCTTCCTTCAGCTTCTTTTTTGCCATTTTCAGCTATTTTTCCATTTCTTTCGACTTCTTTTGTGTGCTTTTTTACTTATTACTGTTGATTTTTGCCTTTTATATATTTTTCAGCTTCATTCTGCCGTTTTCAGTTTTTTTCTGCCTTTTCAGCTATTTAGCCATCTTTTTTGCTAAATTGAGCTTTATTCAGCTAAATTCATCTTCTGGTGGTCATTTCAGCTTTTGCTGCTTTATTCAGCAAGAATGCTCCTTCAGTTTCTTCTTATTACAGATTTTAAGGCTATTTTTCAGTGATCTTCAGCAAATTTCCCAAGTTCACCTTTTAGTGATAATTTCAGCTTCTAACTGCTTAATTCAACAAACATTTGCTCTTTTAATGATGACCCCTATTTATTTGAAGGTCACAAAATAAAAGGTCACAGGTTAGTCATTTTTCTCCTTGTTTTACCTTCTTACATATAAAATATCAGTTTTAGAAGATTTTTATATTTTGTTCATAAATTTGTTTGCTTCTTGCAACTTCTTTATGGTAGATTCAAATTTTTCTGCTTTTGAGCAAATACTGTATACTAATACTAACTACTAATACTAATTTCTTCTACTTTTAGCTACATTTCTGCTCTGTTCAGTATTTTCTTTCCTTTTACTGATTTTTCACTTTTGTTTTCAGCTGTTCAACTTTAACCTACATTAACAGTTTTGCTATTGATCCTTTTCAGCTTAACTTCAGCAAAAATCTTTCAGTATTAGGCATTCACATTGAATTTTTACAGGAAATACAAATTCTCTAGTTTTATTTGTTACATAACATATAAAACAAGATCATTTTAATAAATATTGGACTGAACTTGGCCCTCGGATTAGACAGATGTTTGGATTCGACACCCCTGGTCTAAAAAATACAATTCTGGTACAATTGAAGGAAAGTTTTTGCTTTACAGTTTGTACAAAAGACAATGTAATCCACTGGGGTTACCTGTTTTGGCACATCGTTTGTAAAGGAGCGAGCAGACATCCTTACTTTACTGTTTCTCCTGAACAAAAACAAACCATGTCAGAATTACTATCAGGAAATATTAAAGAAATCATATTTTATCCAATCATCACACACTGAAACACAACACACACACACACACACACACACACACACACACACACACACA